TTGTCTAACAAAAAAAAATAGTTGGCGAAAATAACTTATACATAATGTCAATTGTCATATTAATATGTGAAAAAAAATGCATGTACATACATATATATATATATATATATATACATGGTGGTAATTCTCTGTAATGATTATATGTACTTTTAGTTATCAAGATTTGGAGGTAATTACTTGTTATAAGCTTAACAAAAATCAGAATTAATTAGGAAACAAATTAATCTATTAAATGTTTGAGATATGCTTAACCACAGATCCAATAAAACTTCCGTTACAAAAATTACAAAATTAATTAAAATTTGCAATTAATTAACATGTTAATAATTAAGCAGGGACACGTGACATATATCCTGCTTACCAATTGACACCGGCTCTATATAAAGCCGTCATCCCCATCTCCTTCCTCTCAAACACCAAACCTGCGGAAAACCAGCTCAGCCCCCTGTAAAATCAACTATGGCACAAACACAAAACCAACCAAAAACGCCCCACATAGCAATTGTACCGAGTCCTGGAATGGGTCACCTGATCCCTCTCGTTGAGTTCGCTAAGCGACTCGTTTCTTGCCACCCCGAGTTTTCCATCACCTTCGTCATCCCCACCTCTGGCGCTCCCGCAAAGGCCCAGGAATCTACCCTCGAATCTCTCCCTAGCTCAATGGACTACACTTTTCTCCCTCCAGTTGATCTCAGCGACATCCCTGAAGATACAAAAATCGAGAGCATAATCTGCCTCACTATGGCTCGCTCAGTTCCCGCTCTACGCGACTCCTTCAAGTCGATGATTGCAACCAAGTCGGTGGTGGCCGTGGTCGTTGATCTCTTTGGAGCGGACGTGTTCGACGCAGCCAAAGATTTCAACATCTCGCCGTACATTTTCTTCCCATCTACGGCTATGGTTTTGTCCTTGTTCCTACACATGCCAAAGCTGGATGAGATGGTGTCGTGCGAGTACAGAGAATTGACTGAACCGGTAAAGATTCCCGGGTGCATACCGATCCATGGGAAGTACTTGCTTGACCCTGTTCAAGACCGAAAGAACGATGCTTACAAGTGGGTTCTTCACCAGATGAAGAAGTACTCATTAGCGGAAGGAATATTCCTGAATTCGTTCATGGAATTAGAAGAAGGAGCTATAAAGTCACTGGTAGAAGAACAACCCGGAAAACCACGGGTATACCCGATTGGTCCTCTAGTGAATAAAGGGGGAAAGGTAGAGGAAACAGAATGCATGAAGTGGTTGGATGAGCAGCCACATGGGTCGGTTCTATTTGTTTCATTCGGTAGTGGCGGGACCCTCTCGTACGAGCAAATTCAAGAACTGGCGTTAGGACTGGAAAATGAGCGAGCAGCGGTTTTTATGGGTGGTAAGAAGCCCAAATAACGTCTCTAATTCTACATTTTTCAGCATAGAAAGTCAAAAGACCC